TATTGCTTGAAGACCTCTAGTGAAAGAGAACCCACTTTTGCATAGTTTGAGCAGGATATTTTTATCTACATCAGTTATAAATCAGTCTTTCCAACGTCCATCTATTGTTTTCAGTTCTGTACTCTGGAACTAAGCAGAACTACACTAGTCTCTTTTCCACATCTTGGTTATTTGGATATTTAAGGACAACCATCATGTCCTCCTTAAGCTTTTCCTCTCCATACTAGACATGATCAATTCCTTCAACTGATAACTCACTTGAATCTGATATCCTTTAACTGGTGGTATTGTGGGGCTAAAATGAGAAAATGGATGTAAATCACTTTGCAAACCTAAAAGCATTATATAAATGTCAGTTATTATTATTATAAATAGCCTCTAGTCTGTTGATGACTTCATTCCCTGAGCCTTCTATTGTATTCCTTCTGAGGTTAGGCAGTGTTAATAGAGCAATACAGGGGTATACTAGTAAAAGTTTAACAGTTTAACTCTCTGGGAAAAAAGAAGCATAGATAGATAGATAGATAGGTAGATAGATAGATAGATAGATAGATAGATAGATAGATAGATAGATAGATAAATGGATGGATGGATGAATAGGACAGACAGATAAATAGAATATATACAGATATGTACACATATAAGTTTAATGTGTATTATTAACATTTCCTTAAGTCCAGACCATCAATAATACAATAAATCAATTTGTAATTTGTAGCAATTGGAGATATCTGAGGTATAAATGCTTACGCTGAAAATTTTAAAATGGGCTTGGTTAGAGCTAGATCCAGTGCACCCCTGCCCTCACCTTCAATTATTCTTCATTAGATTTGTTTTCCATTCATCCTATAATTGACCTTTAGGAAACATCGACTAAGACTGAACAAAGTGGTCTGATCAGGGATGAATAAAATAGGACTACAATCTCCCCAGTAGTGGTCTCCAAACTTTTCTTAATGTAGTCTAATAACCTCCTATTTTTTGGTTGCCCTGTCACATCCCTGAGTCATACTGAGATTGTAGTCCACTAAAATCACCAGATCTTCCTCAAGTAACCTCTTGTCTAATCATACCAGCATTTCCATAGGGCATTTGCAAATTTCTTTACAAATATCTGAAGATTGCTTTACAATTACTAATTTGATCCTCACAACCATCCTGGGAGGTGGGTGCTATTAATATCCCCATTTTGTAAATGAAGGAACTGAGGCAGACAGAGGTTAAATGATTTGTAAAAGTACTTGTAAGTTTTATAAATGTTTATCCTTACCAAAGTCTTGGTAAAAGGAATAGATAATCTGCTTATATAATTTGTAAATAACACAAAGCCAAGAGGGATAGTTAACAAAATTGAATGACAGATTGAAAAATCAATAAAAGACTGATTAAAATGCAACATTGTCTGGCCAAATGTATATCCCTGGAATCCTTTATTAAGAACCTACTTGGGGCAAGTAGGTGGTGAAGTGGATAGCATGTCCAGGTTGGAGTCAGGAAGAACCTAGTTAAAATCTGGCCTCAGACATGTATAAGCCATGCAACCTTGGCCAAGTCACTTAATAAACCTTTGTTTGCCTCATTTTCCTCAATTGTACAATGGGGATAATAACAGCACCTATCTCACATAGCTATAGTGAGGATCAGATGAGATAATAATTGTACTGCCTGGCGTAGTAGTAACTATATAAACGTTGTCATTGTCATTAATTTCAGTTGTGTCCAACTCTTTGTGACCCCTTTTGGGGTCTTCTTGGCAAAGATACTGGAGTGGTTTGCCATTTTCTTCTCTAGCTCATTTTATAGATAAGGAAATTGAAGCAAATATGGTTAAGTGACTTACTCGGGGTCACATAGCTAGTAAGTATCTGAGGATGGATTTGAACTCTCCTCTTCCTGATCCCAGGCTTGGTGTTCTATCCACTGCCCTATCTAAATGTTAGGTAGCATTATTATTATTGTTGTTATTATTATTATTATTATTATTACATCCAAGGTTAAATCACTACTAGTGATTCTTTTGAGTCCAGTCACTGAGGTAGTTCTAAATACACCTAACTATATTAATGTCTAATGTACATCTCTCCAGGTTGTACACAAAAATAGCATGAGAATTTTGCCAAATATGTTGATAAATCTATGTCAATGATATCTAAGACATTCCTCTGATGAACAAGTTGAATATACTTGACAAATAAAAAATAATGGATTAGCAGGAACGACGAGTTCTTCATAAAGCTTTGTTGACTCAGTTGACTGAGTTAATGAGATTTCTTAATGAGATAGTCTGAAAATATCCTTTAAATAGTACATTCTAATTCCAGATTACTCTCCAAAATGGATGAGTTCACAATTCCTTCAACAATGAATTTAGTGTCCCAATTTTTCCACATCTGCTCCAAAAAAAGTGAAAATAATTACATAATAACTTTGTTGTATATTTAAAAGGAATAGCAAGTTGTATATGATAGATTTGCAGTTTCATGTGGTATCATCTTTTTTATTATGCTGTGTTATGGGGCGAGTGAACTACATTCTAGAGTCTGGCTAACAAAACATCACTATCCCATAAGCTGAAAAGTCCACTCTCTTACTTTTTATGAAAATGGGTACAACATCTGCCTTTCTCTGGTCTTTTAGCACCTGTCCCCTTTTCCAGGATTTATTAGATATTACTGACAGAGGATCAACAATCACACCTGTCAATTTTTAAAGTATCTTGGAATGTGTTTGGTCTAGGTCAGGGAACTTGAGTTCACTGAAGATAACTAGGAGTTCTCTTACAATCTCCCTAATTTGTCTTACTTATTATGGGATTCAACTCCCTATTAGCCATTTTTTTTTGCTCTGACTTTGAAGTCCAAAGAAAATTTTCTGTGGCATAGAAAATGGAAGCAAAACAGCAATTCTCAGCAATGCTTTTCTTCTGTCATCTGTTATCATTGACCCATCCACCAAAAGCTACAATCCGATCCCTTATGTGATCCCTTTCTTTTTTCCCCAGTGTATTTTTGTTGCTCTTAGCTTTCCTCACCAGTCTCAGTTCATTTCCCAAACTGGTAGGTAACATGAGGAAAAGAAGTATCAGATATTATCACTGCCTTGAAAATGCCTGAAATCTAGTTAGGAAGAAATGAGCAATCCATTTGAAACAATGAGAGAACTACCAAGAGTTAGTGTATGGTGTTTATTATGTCTAATATAATTTCAGATAAAAGTTAAGACAAAAGTGAATAATGAGAATCAGAGAAAGCTTATTAATGTTGAACAAAGATTCCAAGGAATATTGAGAAGTTTCCATTATTTTTGTGTGTTTGAAAAAATATTTTGTTGATTCTATTCTTTGGAACCTCCCCCCATAACAAAAAAAAAAAACCAGTATATGCAATCAAACCAAATCAACACATTTTAGCCATGTCTGACAGCTTCATTCTCATTAGGTACATGGAGTCCACTACCTCTCTGCTCAAACTTGGAAGATGTCTCCTAATCAGTGCTCTGATGTCATAATTGATCACTAAATTGACCAGAGATCTGGTGTCTATCCATGTTATTTTTCTTTACATTATTGTCATCATGGTTCAACTTGTTTTTCTGGCTCAGCTTATTTTGCCATGCATTGATTCATAAAAAAAGTATCCCCCAATTTCCCTCCATTCTTCTTATTTGTCATTTTTAAGAAGAAATAATATCCCATAATACTTACATATCATCATTTGTTCAGCCAGTCTTTCTCCATTCAACTAACACTTACTTTGTTTCTATCACAAACAAGTGCTGCTATCTATCTCAACAGATATACATACATACACATATTTTTCTCATACATTGGGTATCTATCCGTATTTCAATCTATCAATATTAATATGTGAATATATCTATATCTATCTATCTATATAAACACACACTTCCATAAATCAGGCTCTTTTCCCCTTCTGTCTTTGATCACTTTAATTGTATATTCCCAGTAGTAGTATTGCTGGGTCAAAGGATAACATTTTCAGCTCAAAGACAGACTCAAAAACTAAAGTTTTCCACCTATTCCACATGAATTATGGTAGAAAATTTAAATTGCATGAGATATTTTAAGTATATTAGGGAAATATATTAGGGAATTAGAGCTATAATTTAATGAAAATCCTAATGAAATGCAAATCCATGTTGTACCTATATGTTTTAAATAGTAAGCTATGCATTATTACTTATCATATATACTTAAATATCCCAATGGATCTGTGACCTCATTGGTATGATTTTCAATATGCATTTCCAAAATGCGGATCAAAATCCATCTGTGCCTATCCATGTGCCTACTTTACTCTTATGTCCTCATAAGTTCCTCATGGAGGTTCACCCAACATGTTGTAGGATTTAAAGGTCTCCTAACAACCTGATGATACCATAGGATCACCTATGCTGTCTATTAATTGTCTTTCATCCTTAACATGAGACCAGTTCATCATTTTCAATCACATATTTCTTTGATCTTTTATGCCACCTTTCCTTCATAATTCCTTATTTACAATGTGTGGTAACCCACTTACACCAGCTATGCACCACTCAATTGCCCTTTGATAGATCCTCACTTTTACTCTTTAGATAGAGACTTGTAACCATTAAATGTCATTTTAACGAAACTGGCATTAAAAAAACAAAACAAAACAACATGGGGCTTTATTTCAGGGAGAAGCTTGGGGTAATGTCCATGGGCAGTTGACCTACATTTCCAAAATTCTATTGACATGATTATGCAGCATGAGGTCATAGGTTAGCATAATTCATTATCACTTCTTTACTAGAAAAAAAAGGTGGGTTTCAGCCTTTGCATAAGCCTAACAGATGATGACATCTCTAACCCAACATACAGATCACTTGACTGGACCTTGCACCTTCCTTCTACCTCCATGTTGGGATGAAATACTCCACAGAGCCCTTTATTTGGGACAAGCTTTTTACATAATTACACCCTCTTAGGACCTTGTAAATAGGAAATAGTTTCCTACCTTAGAGTGCTCTATCTCAGATGATTCCCCCAAAGCTGCTTCTTGCTTGCCATATTATAAACCTTATGTTTGCGAACCAATTTGTAGTTTTGGTTGGGTTGGAGAGGGTAGGAGCTTTTGGACCCCAGCGACTCCTCGAGTTCAGATCCAAGGCAGTACCAAGAATAACAAACCACAGTCTTGACCTGGGTAAAAATGAAAGTAGAAACTATCTGGGAAGTCATTTCTTCTAGTCAGCATATTCCCTTAAAGATAGAGAGGACAAGTGAGCCCTTTTGAAAATGATATTCATAAACACAGGTCCTTTCCAGTTGCTTCAGCATAATTTCTCTTGCTTTATACACCACTAAAGTTGGCCATCTTACCTAACTTTGAAAAAACTCCATTCCCACAGTTCCTCCCACCACATCTCTTTACATTTCCAGGACTAGTTATCTTGAATAGAAGACTAAACCCAAGACTATCTTCTTGGGTGTCACCCCATAAAGGGAAGTTGTAGTCCTTTAGAGAGGGAGGAAGAGTCAGAGCATAGGTACAGAACGGCGAGAACTGGTCAAGATAAAAGCATTTCAGACTGTGGCTCTGTTGCTTGGCTCTGTCTTCTAGAATCCCTGAGTTTGGAGTGAAAGAGACACAGTCAAATGGATGGGAAGAAAAGCCTGCAGGTCTCTACCTTTACAAGCTGGCTCTGCCCCAAACAGAACAATTCTGCCTTAGTGTGGACAGTCAGAGAAAATTCTTCAATGAAGGACAGCACATGGAGTTGATGGATGTGTGAATTATCAGTACCCCAAACCCAAGCAGCAGCTTTCTAGGGGCTGATATATATCCCTCCAACAGCTGGAAGATGCTGATGACCTGCCATTCTTGCTGTGAATGAGAAAACACAGTACACTGGAGAAGGGCCAATGATTCCTCTCCCAACCCTTTGACTTATTTGTTTATTCTGATGCCTCTGAATGATCCTTACCTCTGTGGATACATTCCAACAATTTTATTGAAAGATTTCAGGACCAAGAATCAATAAAACTTGAGTTTTAGTCCCTGCTCTTACTAATTGTAGGTCTCTGTCTTGTCATCTGTAAAATTAAAGAATTATACAACATCATATCTAAGCTTCCTTCCTTTTCTAACAATCTGCAATTTTATGAAATTTAGCCTCCATTTGACTCCACCTAAACTCAGTGTAAATTTCCACAAGAGTTTAATAATTCTTTCTCTGTGACTTTCCTTTTCTGGAACTCATGAAGGAGTTAGATAGATGATCTCTAAACTTGTTTCTGACTCTAAAATACTGACTTTTAGAATTTGTGGTTGGGGATGAGTAGTGTTACTTTAAGCCTTATTTCAATCCCCTTCCCTCAAGCATGTTGGCTAAAGGCTCTAACATTTTACCCCAAACTCCAAAATCAGGCTTTTTTAGATTCTACCCTATGAAGAAACAACTGATATTAGCACCTAGTTTTAAAGAATAATTATATAAATTAGGAAACTACCACATAGGGCCTCTGCAAGAGTGTTATGAGATCTCTGCAGACTCAGACTGGTGCCTCAGGGTCTCAGCTTTTTCTCACAAGATGGTGTCACTTCAGTCAACTGAATCATCTTTCATGCCATTTGTCCCACAACAAAAATCCTCAATTATGGTTTCATCTAGGATTGAACACACTAGAATTCTCTTCCAACTCTAGCATTCTATGTTAGATAAGTCAGAAATTTTTAACCAAGTACTTTTTTTTAACAGATATATCTACTTGTTAACTCAGCTGTTTATTAGTAACCTAAAGTCAAAAGAAAACAAACTGCTTCCTTTTATTTTTTAACGTGGCATGACAGGCAGAATTGGATAGAGGGAGGAGAACTGTAATAGTTATCAAGAGGACCTAGGTTCAAGTACATATACTGCTATTGGTATGACTCTGGGCCAAGTCACTTAATCTCTCCCTGCCCCTGGAAAATCTCTAAGACTATAAATTGCAGAAAAGGTACAAATCTGTATAGACACAGGAAGTTCCTCTGTGGGAACTCCCTACATAGATGAAATCATAGGTCTCCTTAAACTTAATAAAACTGTTACTTACATAGTCATTATATCACAAGTATGTACTCTTGCTTCCCATTGGAAGAAATGTATATGAATTCTTGTTTCTTGTTTCTTTCTGCTTTTCTTATTCCTCTGATCTTGCAGATTTTTTTTCTCTCCCTATTCCTAATGAGTTTATAAAATATCCCCAAATTTGTGATATTCACAAGAAACTTTAATCACATTTTTTGATTTTTAATTCATTTGATGATATGATATAGTAAAGGTGAACAACAACAATAGTTAAGGTACTATATTTTCTTTTCTACATAAGATTAGCTCTGTGAAAAAAACATCACTATAAGGATAGCATGTGCCTTTTTTAGGGACCATGGCATAACTGTAGAGGAAAGAGGGATACCTTGGTGGACTGTATCCTCCCAGACTGTAAAAAGACTCAGTTTGCATATTATTAGGAGGTTATGTTATTTAATTTCTTTATTTAAGTTACTTTAATTTTATTAAATCCTGTACAGAATTCTATCCTCATAATTCTAGCTCATGCTTTACATCTGTATGCTTTTATGAATCAGTTCCCAATTCTAGGCACTAACTAGTTAGTCTCAGTTCAATCACTTTTTAGCGATGTGTGTTTGGACAAGTAATTTAAATTCTCTGAGCTTCTGTTTCCTCTCTGTCTTACGATGTGGTTGGACAAAATAACCTATAAGATAATTTTCAACTCTAACCTTCTTAGATCTACGACATACCATATATGTTGGAAAAGTTGTCCATTTCTATGTACAATAGAAATTATAGTTTTGAGAAAAATATCAGGACACAAAAAAAGTTCCAGGTTGCTGATAATAAAAGAAACCTCATGTAGAGTTCATGTAGAGGTACGATGATTAAACAAAATAATATAATCCACATTCTTTAATTCTTTAGCTTGAATATTCACTTTTTTCTATTCACTTATTATATGACACATATCTAGATCACACTCTATATATGTATAGATGCATATATGTGTAAATCTATGAGTGAGTATAAGACGGGAGAAAAGGAATGGACTGTGATTTTAATAATTTAGGGAACTCACACTTAAGTAAACTTTTTCTAAAAAACTTTTCTGTATTTTATAGTCTTAGAGAGTTATGTACAACATAGAAGTTGAAACTTGCTCATGGTCACAGGGCCAGCATGTGTCAGAGTCAAGATTTGAACCCAGAGCTTTTAGTTTTAAGTTCAGCTTTCTATCTACTATGTTACAGTGTCATTCTGGTCTACATGTGTATGGTGATATGTGTATGGATGTATCTTTCCGATTTAAGAAATCAAATTTAATTTTAAAATATTTTTTTTAAATTGACTACATAGTGAACTGGATACAAAACAGGCTGTATGTATGAGGGAAAATAACTGGCTGATTCTGTCAATTTAATGAGAAAAAAAACAGTCAAGATATTTGTTTAGTAAAATTTTGACCAAAAAGAAAAATACCAACTGAATGCTTCATTACTTAACATTTTTCATGGCATCATATAAATGTAATCTGTGATTCAGAAATTACTTTAACATCATGTTGTATGTAGGTGATAATTTATATGCTGTCATTCCCCATCTGAAAGCTGTGCTCTAACTTCTTCCCTTCACCCTGTTAGAGGAAACCTTAACTCATTCTAAACTTTCCCCTTTGCTCCCCACAGAAATCCTCCCAACTGACCTTGCCTCATTTACCCTGCCCTGCCCTGTCATTCCTAGCTCACTACTTTCACCTTTCTACTTGGCTCCACCTCCCCAAATTTGTTAAAGAGCCCCTTGATTCTGTCCCCACTGGAACCATCACTCTCCCAACAATGGCTTTCTCTAAAATTTATCTTTATTCTTGACAGCTATAAAAGTTCTATGTGAATTCATTTGTGGTCCAGAATGTGACTCCTTTGAATATTGTAAAAAGAGGGCCATTGTATTTGGAACAGGCAAAATGAGTAGAATGATAGGATGTATCTTATTAACAAAAGAAACAATTCTATTCTCCCCAAAGTAGTTTTAAATTTTAAAAAAGACAAAGCTTGTCTTCTATGTATGCTATCACTAAGAAACTATGCAGTGACATCAAGAGTTTACTACTCAAAATGTTCTTCTCTTCGAGTCCTATTTCTGAACCAAATCAGGCAAACAACAATCATGACCAATTCTAAGTGGTTACATTTTTCACCCCTTTGCCTGATCAACTCAATACTTCATAAGCATACAATAGAACTTCACTTCTCCCTAAAGGAAATATAAACTAGTTACCAACACTTTATTCTAAGGAAAAGAATCAAAATGTTAGGATGAGATCTAAGGGAATAGAGGAGAAAAGAGGGTTTCTTGGGGAGCCTAAGTTCTCTTGTACGTTACTCAAAGGTTTCTGAAACACCTCAGAATCTTTCTCAACACTACTTTTGTGATAATACAGATGGCTTCAATTATCTGAGTATCTCAAAATCCTCTCTTCCCCCCATTAACTTTAATTCATTTAATTGAAAAAGTAAATAAACTTTCTTACATAGCATTTCTTAGGAAGAGATGGCAAAGTGGTGGTGGAATGGAGAGTATAAAGGAGGGAGGAAAAAGGAAGGATGGTTGCTCATAAAATTGATTCTAACCTAAGAAACTATCTATCTTGCAGAATGCTAAAAAACACTGTCATAGAAACTTTTTTTGGATAAATTTAAAGCATGTCCAAGAAAAACAACAACTACAACAACATATTTGGTCTTTCAAATTCTGCTGTCATCCCAATTCAGCATCAGTTACTGTATGAAGGAATAAAACAACTGACTGATATGTACTTATCATCTATTTCTTTTGCTTCCCTATTTGCCGGAATTAGAATAGGTTATCTCTCATTTGATATAAGTATTGACTAGATCATAAGATTTAAAACTGGATGGAACCTTAGAGATCAATCTTTCTTCCAGATATTTATTTTCTGATAAAGACACAGAACATTGCAGCTTTGTTGTGATTTATTGCTCATCTTGG